CATTTGGGTACTATTTTGGAGGACGAATCCTATGAAGACAATCCAAAGGAGGATGATACAGAGGAAGAAAATCTGAAGGAAGATGATCCATCTAAAGACGAAGACCTGAAGATGAAATACCTTGCTTTTAAGATTTACATCATTTAGTAGGATTAGAATCGAGGTTATTATCGGTGGAGCCTAGCCATCATTACCTTTATGCAGACCCTGGGTTGTACTTATACGACACTTTCTATGGACTTTCTTTCTTTACTCTGGGTTAATTTATATTAATGAGTTTACTTTGTGTGCGTAATAGAACTTGCCTATATTTTCTAGGTTTCTTTCTTGTATGTGTTTGGCCTGATTTCTCTAAGCTCTCTAGAATGAAAAATCTTCTCTAGTTATAACTAAAATTTAATATTTTATGATTAAATAATATAGAAATTTAATGATCAAGGAAATCATTGAAATCATCTTGGGTCGCATATATATTAATGCATTCCTTTCCTCCCTTGCTATAAGACACTTCCCCGCTTGCGGATAGAGTCTGGATAATCTGGCCTATGAGGATGTGGTGCCGGACCTAGGAAAGCCCAGACTTTTCTAATTTTTTTTATATAAGCCTTTTATAAAATCTCATGCATACTAGATTTGAGACCTATTAAATAGCATGCATTGTATTAGAAATAATTAAATGAAAATTGTAATGGCATTAGCTCTAGGAGCATTCACCCTACATAAGTCCAAGGTCAATTATGAAACTCTCTAGATGTTGGCCTTACTTCCAATAACTTAGCTACCTACCCATCTTTCATAAAAATTAGACAGCATGAATTTTACACGCTTAGGTGGTTAGATGGCTTTCCTTTTTAGGCATGATATAAGCCTAGGATGCATTAATTAGGACATAGGTGTTAGTGTTGTGTATAAAACACTAAACCTATTCAAGATTTAGGGTTCAAGGCTACTACACTATGTGTATCATAGTACATCTCATCAGTGGGTATGTTCCTTATTCTTTAGGGATTTTAAATCCTACCTATCTGCATCATATGGATGACGCCACATCCATCATTTCCCTCTACATGCTTTGAGTGTTGTTTCCCTTTTCTCTACTTTCTTCTTAGTGCCTTAGTCCATCCGGATGTTAGTGTGAACTGTACATGTTGACTGAGCCCACTTGAACCCTTTCTTTCCCTTTGAGTAGGATTTCTTAGTCTCCCCTCTATGCCAATCCCATTCTATAAATAATAATGTTGGATCCTTAATAAAGAGTATTCTCAGGCTCCGGCCTGAGATGTAATTAACCGTGGGCCCGGGGTTATGCCCGTGGGAAACAGAATTTCACTATCAAATAAACTCCACTCGAGCTGCTATATCAGGTGGGGAAAACCCATTGTTTCAATTAGGTCGTCCATATTATTAACCATTAGGGTGCGAGAGTCGCTATCATAAATGATTAATAGTACATACGGTCTAATCTACCCTTTCATTGGCTCGCTTGTAAAGAGCGCAGAGCATGCGATCATTTCATCCCTAAGGATGGTGCGGTCATATACCCCCTGCACTCTGTCCCCCGCTCGGCGGTGTCCTTTCGGAGGTCCACACACTCAACATTAAGTGACTTACCCTTAGCAGAGGAGTTTGACTTCAAAACATCAATCATTCGCAAGGCCTAATAGGCATGGCATATGTCCAAGATAGTATTGTACTTTTAGTCAATTTTAACATAACCTTCCCTATAGCCATTAGATCCCTTTAAGTAAGAGGTGAAGAGTCATATTTTGAATCTTTTTTCACTATCTAAATATACTATAAAGCTCGTAAAGTATTTGCCCCACAAAAATTTTCTTCTTCTTTTCATACTCATGATAGGTCTTGGGTCCCATTTCCCTACGCTTGTTTGCTAGAAGGTCCAGTGTCACATACGAATAAATTTGGATTCAACTAGAAACATATTAGTTAATTGAATAAGTCTTATCAAGCTTATTCATAACAACCTATTGAGCTTAAAAGAAAGAATTTTAATTGAACAAATCACCCTAAAAAATCAAGCATAAATGAGTATATTATGTTTTTTTTTTTTTTTGGGGAAATTTTGGGGCCTAAGCCCATATATTGCTATCAGAAGAGAAAATTACAAGTAAAAAAGAGATTACATGTAAAACTCCTACATAAGTAAAAACAAAAACTTATGGAGGACAAAATAAAGGGAAAAACCCAACTATACCACCCTTTATTATGTAAATACATTAAAAGAGCCAAAATAGTGGTAAAAGCACAAAAAGGTCTTGAAAACTTGCATCCTTGCGTCCAATCAGCAGAACACAGCATGAGAGCAGATGGATCCAGAAAGGAGAATCGCCAGGCCCAGAAAATCCACTACCTGCAAAGAGAAACAGTAATACCAAGCTCCCTAGCAAGACAGACTGGACTCAGGTAATTGAATTTGAAATTAGACAGAGCCCCGGTTGCCCGTAGACCATCCAAGGGACTGCCTAATGGGAGCTTCATCATTGTCCAGCCTGAGCTATACAGGCACATCGAAGCGACATAGGGACTCGAAGTAATCCAGCACTTATAAAGATATCCATCCGCAGCAAAGCAGCTACCAACAAAGTTCCACATCACAATCCCAAAGACTCTCCAGGTTAAATCATTTCCAGCAAATGATACGAATCCTTCCATTTTAATACTTTTTCAAAAACCACTTTTTTAATAAGTAAGGATAGCGAGATAGAACTGAGCATAGTATCCCCAAATCTCCTAGAGTTCCTTTCCTTCCAAATATAATATGTTGCACATCCAATAATGAGTTTGTAGAAATTTTTAACCAAAGTCTTGCCTTTGTAAGTTGAATTGATCCAGGAAAAAGTTTGCAACAGAGAAGGTCTAAAAAGCAACCTTGTAGTGCCAGGAATAAGCTCATTAATCACAGAAAAAGAGTAAGAGCACTCATAAAACAGATGAGTGACCGATTCATCAAATATATGGCATAAATTACATTTTCTAGGAACCATTATCTGCCTGATGCGAAGAGCATCCGAAGTTTTAAGTCCCCCAACCAGGGCCATCCACACATAAACATTGTGTTTTAAGCAGTTCCTTTTGTGCCAAACAGCCTTATACCAATTGCAGTTTTGTAAGTCTTTATAATACTCCTCTATATAATTTTTAAACTTAGAATTGTTCCTGTTTTTCCAAAGCAAACAGGAACCCTCGGCTGCAGTAATATGCTGAAAAAGATTTTTAATTTGCACAGGTAAAAATTCCGGAAGAACCCATTGGTCTTCCCTAAACAAAGATCGAATAGCACAATTTGGATGAGAAATTTCATTCCCCATGTATTCCTGAAGAGTAAGGGAATTGCACCAGTGGTCCCAAAGAAAGGAAATAGGGGAATTTGTAGTAATCTTGAAGCAGAAACTAGATTTTGCCTGGATGGCAGTTTTCTTCACAGATTTCCAGAATTTTGTATCAGAAATAGAAGGCTGACGCCAAGGCGACTGGTATTTACTTAGTAACCAGTCAGATAAAGTGGATAAGGAGTTGTACATTCTTAAAATTACTGAGCAGTTAAAACCAAACTGTAAAGCATTGAAGGAAGGAACCCCCAGTCCCCCTTTTTCCTTAAAACGACAGATAACATCCCAAGCCACCATATGCAGCTTCCTTTCCTGAGAAGTGTCCCCAAAAAATAGGAAACGAGAGCTAGCTTTTTTCAAGAATTTAGAGATAGTTTTAGGCAAGATAGCACCTCGAATCCAATAGCCTATAGTATTTTGTATAGTAAACTTGAGGTATTGAAGTCTCCCAGCAAAGGATAACAGATTAGCCTTCCAACCGTTCATTTTTTTGTTGACACTATCCACTAAAGGGATATAATCTTCAATCTTAAGTCTATGAAAAGACAAAGGGATACCAAGATAGGTGATCTTGGATGTGATGTTGTGAATAGATAAGATGTCACATATTTCTTGTTGGTTGCTTTGGTGTTTAGGAAACATGATAGCACTTTTATCAAAATTTATGTGCAATCCCGTTGCGTTTGCAAAATCTCTAAGAATACTAGCAAGTTTGTGACAATTGGAAATGGTAGCCTCTCCAAAGATCAGCACATCATCAGCATATAAAAGGTGAGTGAGGGAGAAATTATCAGTAGATATACCTTTAAAACCTCTGTCCTCTAAAAGATTTGAAAAAGCATCCATCACCACACAGAAAAGATATGGACTAAGCGGGCACCCCTGACGTAACCCAGCTGATGAAGTAAAATATCCCTCCAATGCACCATTAAGTACGATAGAAAAATGGACATCAGAAATGCACATTCTAATCCAGTTAATCATAGGATTGGGGAATCCTTTTTGAATCAATCTAGTTAATACAAATTCCCTGGAGACAGAATCAAACGCCTTTCTGATATCAAGTTTAGCACAGAACAGCTGGGTACCCTTCTTTTTACTAGCATAGGCAAGAATTTCACTAGCAAGTAGAATATTATCAGTAGAAATTCTAGATTTAACAAATCCCGCCTGAGATTGATTTATGATATCTGGCATGATAGGTTTTAACCTACTAGCAATGACCTTTGCAATTATTTTGTATATCACATTGCATAGAGCAATAGGTCTATAATCAGATATATTGACAACATTTTTATGTTTTGGGATTAAACCAAGAGCGGTTGCTTTGACACCATTCGGTATCTTTAAATAATAGTATTCATAATTAGTAATGAAAGCATGTTTTAAGGATTACCAATGATTCGGTTAAGTCATTAGAGCTCAATTCAATTAAAACTTGTTTAATTTTATTTAATTAATTGTATCATTTTATTTAAATTATATATATATATATAATAATAATAATAATTTAAATAAAAAATTAGTTCATCATTCAAAAGATTGTTTTTTTTTTTTTTGTAACTTCAAGCAAGATTCACACGCCACAAAGGTGGACCCATCCGCTTAAGTACCGCCGACTCCTCCTTAAATACAGCGCCAACCTTTGTCTCTCTTCCACACCATATCATATGAGCCAGAATCATCCACTCTATCCCGTCTCTACAAACTCAAGTAAAAACTTTAGGAATCATGCCGGATTCCAACGACCAGCCACTAGACGAACTCCGATGGGGCGGCGAGACTAAGATCCTTCTAGGAAAGTACGAGCTCGGCCGTCTCCTCGGCTGTGGCGCCTCAGCAAAGGTCTATGTCGCTCGCAACCTCCGCACAGGACAGAGCATGGCTATCAAATGCTTCAGTAAGCTTCGAATCTCGAAGGGCAGCTTCGTGAATCACATTAAGCGTGAGATTTCCATTCTCCGCTGCCTTCGACACCCCAATATCATCCACCTCCATGAGGTCCTCGCCTCACGATCCAAGATTTACATGGTCCTCGACCTCGCCAAGGGCGGCGAGCTCTTCGACCGCGTCTCCAACGCCGGCCAGCTGCCGGAAAATCTATGCCGTCGCTATTTCCAGCAACTCATCGCTGCCGTCAGTTACTGCCATTCCCGCGGCGTCTTTCACCGAGATCTAAAGCTCGAGAACCTTCTTCTCGACGAGAACGGCGATCTCAAGGTCTCTGACTTCGGCCTTTCGGCGATTTCCGACCAGGTCCAAGCCGATGGTCTTTTCCACACGCTGTGCGGAACCCCGGCCTACGTAGCTCCGGAGATTCTCGACAAAAAGGGATATAGCGCCGCAGCCGTCGATCTCTGGTCCTGCGGCATCATACTGTTTGTGCTCGTCGCCGGCTATCTCCCCTTCAATGACTCTAGTCTCATTGCGATGTACCGCAAGATCTATAATGGCGAGTACCATTGTCCTAAATGGACATCGCTCGAGCTCAGGGATCTCATCGGCCGCCTCCTCGACAAAAATCCCGAGACCAGAATCACCGTTGAGGAAATCTTGGCTCATCCGTGGTTCCGAAAAGGACTTGATGAGAAAAAATTGGCTAAGATGGGGAGTTTTCAAGAGGAGGCTGAAGCGGATGAGTACTACAAGATTTCGAAAGCGGAGGCGGTGGATGCTGAGGAAAGACAGCTTAACGCCTTCGACATCATAGGGTTTTCTTTTGGGACTGATCTCTCCGGGCTTTTTGATAAGCAGGCGGAGAGGGAGAGGTATGTCTCGGTTGAGGCGCCGGAGGTGGTTCTCCGGCGTGTGGAGGAGGCGGGGAGAAAGGAGGGATTGGTAGTGAGCAGGAAAGGGGAAAAGGGGCGCGTTGGGGTGGCGTTACGGGGGCAAAGTGGGAATTTAGTTGTTGGAATGGAGGTTTACCGGCTGAGCGACGATTTGACTGTGTTGGAGGTTCAGAGGGACCGGTCCATCGATGGTGGGGACCGCTGGGCTGGCGAATTTTGGCGAGAAATTCCACCTGGGAACCGGCGTAAACTGGTCGTCAAATCCGTGCCCCGGCCGGCGGCGAATCGCTAAGATCCGTGCCGTCCTGATTTTGCTGTTTTGAAGGAAAGACCGGCGGGTGATTAGTCGTCAATGAATCAAGTCCATGCAGGTTATGTGTTAACTGTGAATTTTGTGTATATTAGAATTTTTTTTTATTTTTTAGGTACGAATCTCATGGGGGAATCAATGTTTGATTCCGCTGATCGATTTGAGCTCAGGACTTGGCTGGTTTATGCTATAATAATATTAAATGATGCGTTGGAAGAAAAAAAAGAATATAATTTTAAATATGTTCTTCACAAAAAAAATTAAATATGCAAATTTTAATCGATTAATTTTGAAGGATAATTATTATTATTATTATTTTTTTTTTGGAAAAATTCTTGGTTATATGATGAAGAAGAAGGATTTTTTTTTTTTTTTGTTATTTGATTATAAGTGAAATAAAATATTCAATATGAACAGTATGAACTCCCCTCCATATTTTCGATCAAGTGATAATTAAATGGGTTTAAATTTTTTTTAAACTCTCAGGTTAAAAATGGCCATTTCTTTTTCTAAAAGAAAATATCTAATTTGTATTTTTATAAGTTTTTTTTCTTTAGAAATTAATTAAGTTATTTTTAAAATATTGAAACTATTTTTAGCTATTTGTTTAATGAAATTAAATCGGCCATCACCCTCTATCATTAGCATCTGATCACCTCTATTGCCGCCCATCACCATCACTTCATACGATATTCAATAAAAACAAAAACATCTATTTAAAGGTAATTTGGGTGCACTTTTTTTATTTTATTTATATTTTAATTTTAATGAATTATATTTGATATTGAAATTATATTATCTTTTATTTAATAATTATTATAAAAAAATTGTTATATTGTGATGGTTGCAGTCACAAATAGAGTGGTGATAGCTAGCAATACAACTATGATTTTATTGTTCACAGTCATAAAATCGAATGGTTCTCCGTATTTGGACACCACAAATAATAATCTCTCCATCAACAGTGGTGGTCTATAGGTGGCTACAAATGGAAATAGACCGGTAGCAATGATTGATGTTGATAAAAGATGAAGGCCAGCATTGACCAAAGATGGTGACTAGCAGCTAGAGAAGCTTGAGGTGTGATTAGCTGTGCTTGTTGATGATGATCAATGATAGTTGGAAGTGGTGGTTGTCCATGGCCAATGGTGGTTTACAATAGCAAATGGTGGCAATTGGTAGCTGCTAGTGGTGGATAGACAACAATAATGATAGTTGTTTTAAAAATACCTAAAAGCTATTTTAAATATTTTTAAAATATGTTCTTCTAATTCTACAAATAAAAAAACAATATGTAAAAAAAATTCTAAACAAATATATGTTTTAAAATATAAAACAAATACAAAATAAAAATCATACCAAACAATCTCCTAATAAACCACGACTTTTTTTATTTTACATTTAAAAATAAACAAAAAAAAGTGATCACAAATTGCCTCTAAATGAACAAAAGTTGGATATGGTACACTTTATTTATTTTTGTTCACAATAAATTATTTTTGTTTATTAACAAAAAAAGGTGATCTCAAATTGCCTCTACATGAATCCTTTTTCTATTTGAATTATGGAGGTCAACTTTAGAGTTTAAATGTTTTCACTTGAATATATCTAAAATTGAATATATAGAGTATAATTTCAATAGTAATAGACCTAGTGAGGGTATTATGTCTTTGGGTGATCAAGTCATTAATAAGAGTACATGTTTTATATATCTTGGATCAATTGTTCAGAGTGATGGTGAAATAGATGGGGATATTATCATCATAGTTCAAGTTGGATGGTTGAGGTAGAGGAATGCATCAGGCTTGTTAAGTGATAGAAAATTCCCCCTCAAACTTAAGGGAAAATTCTATAAGATGTTGGTGAGACCTGCAATGCTTTATGGTGCCGAATGTTGGCCATTAAAAGAGAAGCATAATGCTAAGTTGAGTGTTGTAGAGATCAGGATGCTCATGTGGATGTGTGGCTTTACCCTAAGAGTTATGATACAAAATGAGCATATACGTGAAAAGATTGGAGTAGCTCTAGTGGACAATAAGATTGGAGAGAGTTGTCATAGATGGTTTGGTCACACAAAATGACGACCTTCTGATGACCAGTTAGGAAAGTAGAGGCATCATATTTTACTTATGTTATGAAAGGTAGAGGTAGGCCTAAAAACATTTAGTTAGAAAATATTAGAAATGATCTTTCTTTATTAGATTTAAATGAGAATTTGACTTTTAATATGACACAATTGAGAAAAAGGATTCAAGTAGCCAAACCCAAGTAGTGGGACAAAGGCTTGATGTTGTTATTGTTGTTGTAATAATTCTTATAAAAAACTTAACATTAAGCTTAATGATAAATCATATTATTTAAATTATATATATATATATATATATATATATATATATATACCAACCTGCCTCTTTGATGGGTCCTCCCCTTGGCTTGACTACCTTAAATTGGGTTACCTAGGTAACCTCTCAAGGTCCCACTGCAAATGATTTCATATTGCTTTTGTCCCTCCCCCACAATTGCCAATTATTTTGGTTGCCCTTTAGATGCTGATTCTCTCACAACCAAATAATCTTGGTTAACCTTTGCTAGAGTATGTGTTCAAATCACCAACACCTCTCCTCTACCTGACACAATTCTTATTTTACTAGTTAGAGAATATGTTATGTTAAAAGAGGTTTATGACTGGAAACGTTCATGTTGTGAGGACTGCGGCTCCATCATACATTCCTCAAACTTCTGCCACTCAAACCCATCTCCTTTTTCCCTAGAGGTGGAAGTGTTAACAAAAATCAAAGAAATAATTCCTCTAGCAAAAATTTCAAATATAACCCCACTCCCCCACTTGCACCTAACAAAACTCCTTCTCAACCCTTTCAGCCAGCACTCCCGCCTCCTACTATTGATGTTAGCCCCACCACCTCACCTCCTCCCCCTATGCCCTCCTCCCTGCCTCCTACCCTTAATATGGGTAAAGTTAATATTCCCAACCTCAATTTCCTATAGAGTAAGTCACTTCCTCAAACCAAGGCCCATCCTCCCCCCACCATCCTAACTCCAATATCCATATATCCCATAAGTTTTTCACTCTACAAATGGAAGATCTTCTCCTAATGACATCTAATGTGGCTACTAGGTGTCTCCCTACACCACCCAAAGATCTCTCCCCACTGCAAATAACAAAGAAGAGAGAACAATGACCCCCTCTTCCTTCCAAGAGCACGAAAGCCAAAATTGCCAAAAAAGAAAACAACCTCCACTTCCAAAACTCAATGGCTCATCTCCTAATAGCAATCTGGAATGTTAGAGGATTTAATAACACTGATAAAGTCACTGCTTGTATAAAGAATACCAAGTTACATAAGCTCAAAATGTTGTGTATTCTCAAAGCTAAAATCCACATTACTTCATTACTGCATCATTGGTAGTCTTAGTCTAACAGAGATTTTGACAATGAATCTAGTTGCCATAATTTCTCTTCTTCCTCTCATGAAAGAGACTGGCTAAAATGAGAACCCACATGCCTCTTCTTTTTTCCTTCCTCTTCTACTCAACTCATTCACGTGCCTTTATGTTCTGGCACTTCTCCTCCTATTCTTTTTCTATGGTTTATGTTGCTAACTCTCTTGAAGATAGGAGACCTCTTTGGTAGTATATTCAAAACCTATATTCCATCATTAAATCTCCTTACCTCATCATTATTAACTTCAACTGCTACAGAAAGGCCACTGAGAAAGCTAGTTGCAATATACTACATTTAGTAGGTTGGGTGGGCTTAATAACCTTATTTTCAATATTGGTGCCCATGACCTTACATTTGTGGGTATGTTTTACACTTGCTTTAATTAAAGGGTTGACAATCCTATTCACATTAAGTTAGATAGAATTCTAGTTAATATTGCTTGGCTTGACCACTTCTCATATTCTTATTACAAAGATGCTCTGACCACTCTACATTGGTGATTTGATCCAATTCCATCAAATTAATTGTAGCAAATTTCTTTACTAGAATTATTAAGTTGATATGAATGGTTTTTTGGGAAGTTGTTACTTCCACTGTTACTACTCTTGTTCAAGCAAGTCCAATTGATAGCTTTTATGCTAGGCTTCACAATCTTGAATCATTGTTAAAGTGAAAATATTGGACTTCCTCCTCCTTATCATATTTGATTAATGGCTTAAATAATAGTCATCTTGGTTTCTTAGTAAACTTACAGAATAGTCTCATAGATCCCAACCTCAACTTCAACTTAAAAGAATTAAATCATCTTTTATACTCTTATCAATCTTCTTGGGCCTCTTGGTTAACTCAACGCGATAAGTCTAAATGGTTTTCTAAAGGTGAAGATGATCTTGATCTTTTATATGCTAAAATAAGATCTCGCTATAATGTCAACTACATTAAGGAGGTTACTACTTCTCTGGGCCACTTCACTACCTCTCAAGATATTGCTTATGCATTTGTTGAGCACTTTCAATTCTCTTAAACCACTTCAACCAAACACCTGCATAATCTCCACGGGAAAAAAAAATTCTCCTCACTTTCTAGATTCCTTGATCTCTCTTGTGTCAAATGATAAGATTAAGTCAATGGTTTTTTCTACCCCCTCTTCTTATGTATCGAGTTCAGATGAATTCACTTTTAAATTTTATAAAGGCACTTCGAATATTATTATGATTCAAGCTTATAATGCTATGAAGAATTTCTTTCGGTATGGACACCTGCTAAAAAATGCCAAAGCTACAACCATCACTTTGATTCCTAAGTGCTCTTATGCCATGAATATCTTGGATTATATACCTATTTTCCTATGCAATGTGTTATACAAAATCATTGCTAACATCCTTGCTAATAGATTGAAACCCATCTTACTTTTGATAATTCATGAAAGCTAAGTTTGTTTCATTTAAAAGAGATGCTCCATTAATAACATCATTATAGCCTAAGAACTTTTAGGGGAATTCAAAGCTATTAAGAGATACAACTTTTATGTAAAATATGATATTAAAAAGGCTTTTGATAGTTTCTCTCGATATTTCAAACTCTCTAGAGTGACCCATTAAGGATTACATGCTCAATACATTAAATGGATTAAATGTCGTATCAATGATGTGCACTTCTATATTTGTATCAATAGAGCCCTTGAGGGGCACTTTAATTCTACCTTTGGGTTAAGACAAGGTTGCGCTCTTTCCCCCTACCCTTCAATAGTATCATGGAAGCTTTTTCTAGCTACCTT